ATTCTTTTGATTGTCGAATGTCGATCTGCGTGTTCTTTCAATTTCAATCTAAATCGAATGAGCCAGGCGTTAAATTGAATGAAAACTTGGTGAAATTGGCCGGGAAAACCTTTAATATGATTGTGTATTTTGTTCATTGTTTATTTTGTTAAATATGATAATTTGGTAATGTGATTCCTGATGACGTCAAAATGACGTGCCCTCTGTATCAGGGTTGATTTTCGTTCCACGTCTCAAGTTCCTGCTGAGAACAGATTGAAGAAAAGTCGCTGAGAATGACGGTCCGGGAAAAAGAAAGAAAAGCTCGTACGATTCTAAATCGGTGGCATTTTTAATGATGATTGTGCACTTAAATGCAAGGCCAGTAGAATCAGAATTACAAGAGACTGACTGAGACCTCATAGTGTGTACATCCATGTACATCTTCCTGATCCGAAAGTAACAGGGAGCAATGATATTTGGAAGAAGTAAAAAATGTTCAAACGATATGAGACAGGGAGGCACTGATAGAGGGGGTAATTCAGTCGTTCGTTAATGAGTATGAAGACAATCATTGGATCAATGCCTTTTAAAGTATGAAGAAGTCAGCCAAGAATAGGCCCTCCTTTTCAATAAAGGTTTTCTCGGAGAAATTCTGATTTGTTCAAATCAGTTTCATAATCAGCCATTAAATATTGCGTGAGTTTTGCACATGTGGTCAAATTGGCAGTAAGCCATCGACCACAAATGTTTTCAATTAGCAGATTTTGGATGAATAATTTGAAAGAAAAAACCCTAAACTAAGCAGTGTGTTAGGCTTCCTAACGGGCAAACATGTTTCACATTTTGTCAAACATCTTTTAAGACTTCATACGTGTCCGTATTCCTTAGCGCAAATCATATATTTGATGACTTCAAACCGTAGATTGACTTTCTTTCTTAAAGGGTATGTGCAATGAATTTTTTCTCAGGAATTCTTTTTGCGCAACTCTGTGAAATGTAAGAAAACTACACATTTGACAACACTTTTTTGGTTAATCTTATTGCAAAGGTGCACTTCTTTAAGCATTTAAAAGTTTCCATGTTTTTCCGGACTAACGCTGTTACTGTGATGTCATTTCAGGAAGACACTGTTCAGTTTAGGTTTTTTTCTTTCAAATTATTCATCCTAAATTTGCTAATTGAAAACATTTGTGGGAAAGGGTTGGTCATTGGCTTACTGCCATGTACTGACACAACATATAATCACCAAATAAAAGAAATTTATGACAGCAAAATATCCAAAATTCTAGCAACTTTTTTTGCTGAAATAGCCGTGTAACATTAATCATGCTCGGAATACCATCACAGGTTTTCTAATGAATATGAAACTTTGCATTAGCATAAAAACGGAGAAGGCACCAAAAACGCCCCTCAAAATGGAAAATAAAACTTGCAAATAAGGTTAAATGTGACACAAAGATGTATTGCATTGAAAACTTTGCATGGGCCCTATGAATATGGTAAGTGTTCGGTCAGACATACGCAAGAAAACATTCAAGAAATAACGCAAGAGAAGATTTCCCGATGGTACAACCATTTCCAAACATATTACGTGTTCCGATGTCTTGCACGTCAAGAAATCATCAACGTAACAAAACCCCTTGATCAAACGTTTCAACAAGTAGAAAAGATCAACAAGGAAAAAGAAATTATCTTAGTCCCTTTCAATTAATTATTTCGTTGCATCTTGTTTCCCTCAAGTAACTTTGTAAAATTTACAGTCGTCAAGATTGGTTTTTTTTTAGGAGGGGGGAATGAACCTCGGAGAAAAATAGGAAAAAATGTCGATTAAAAATTCTTATTAATTTAAATGACCAAACGATGAAAGCGATTGCCCATAAACGAATAAGAAACGAAAACTGGCATGGTTATACGTTATAAGCGCACAGATGTTCGCTAATTTGAATGCGTCAACCGTCAAAAGGTTGCAAAGACTTAATTTAAGACTGCTACAAGTTAAGTCTTGAATGCACCAAAGCGAAATAGGCTGCCCTAAAACGAAAACGAACATTCACAGCAAAATTTTGGCTGTCTAAAAATGAAATTGAATGAACCCCAAATAAAAAAGAAACCCCAATTGGACCAGGTGTGCAAAACTCGCGCGAAATTGAATGGCTGATAATGAAACTGATTAGAAAAATTCGGAAATTCGCTGGGAAAACCTATATTCAAACTCGTCCATCAACATCCATTTAGTGCACTTCCAATGTTTAATTTTGTCTTTTGTCAGACAATTTCTAATTCAGTTCATACAAGCAAATTAAAACAATGATTACACGTTTTCGTCCCGGAGTATTCGATCTCGTCTCGTCTACGCAAAACCTTAGCTTGTTATTCAGAATCAAATTCGTCTAATTGATTTATATAAGACGAATTCGATCTCTGAATGCTACCATTCGGAAACAGCTTAGATGAATTTGACCTGTAATGTCGAATATTCTCGACCCAGTGACTAAAGAGGGTGACCAAACTTTGAAATTGAATGGTAAATGACTAATTTAAGTGGTTTTCTTTAAGCATGTGAAATTTTTCTCGGACGAAATTGAATGTTAGAGTTGATGAAATTGAATGAAAATGTTTTTAAATAGCCGGGAAAACCTATAGTTTCTTAGACCGTAACATTGCCAAGGCCTTTTTGGTAATATTTTATCCTCTCATCAATTTGATCATAAAGTAAGACTCGTTCATTTATGATGCAGTTACTCCGGGAGAATACACAAAAGAGGCACAACCATTAATTGCTAGCCTTCTACCTCGTCTTCTTGCCCAAATGTCAATTAGGCATCGATAAAAATAAATAAATTTAGTCAAATTATCCATGACATTTCAATTGTGTAGTTCACTGAAAAGCAGAGCCAACATAAAAAAAAACCTGAAAGCGGATTACTCCATGAACTTTTGTTTTTTCATCACAGAGTTTTGGTAACCCTTGGGGTAACCCACCGGATACGCACCAATGGCGGCGATTTCTAGTCAGGATTTGGAGGGCACAGCTGCGTCGACAGACGAATCTCCGGGGGGGGGGGGGGGGGAGGGAGGGGAGATTGCCAAGTAGGCATATTAATGGTTCGAGCTTAGTGGTAGCCCGCTAGCCAAATGCGAGTAAATACAGCGGCGGGCTAGTCAAAGCACTTGTTACATTACAGTGTAATAATTCGTTTGTCTTGTTAATGACCAATACTTTTATAGGGAGATATTTCAAGGGGGAATTAACTTAAATTATGTGGTATAGTTTAATGTTTGTAATGTAAAGTTGAATGTATTTTAATATTTTGAGCACAAAAACCACGACACCTTCTATTGTATGCCACTGTATATAAATGGCAATCAACCAAATCAATCAATCAATCAATCAATCAGAACTATTAAAGTCCCCCTGGCGAGTCATAATTATTGAAATAAGGCATGCAACTTTCTCGTGTATTCGTGGATTTTAGCGTTTTTAATGGAAATTGCGGCCTGAAATCCCCGAAAATGTCATGTTTTGGATTGATTAATACTTATCCTATTTCAAAGGTCTGGTTGAAAGGGAACTATAGGTTTTCCCGGCGAATTTCCGAATTTTTCTAATCAGTTTCAATATCAGCCATTCAATTTCGCGTGAGTTTTGCACATGTGGTCCAATTAGGGTTTCTTTTTCATTTGGGTTTCATTCAATTTCATTTTTAGGCAGCCAAGATTTTGCTGTGAATGTTCGTTTTCGTTTTCGGGCAGCCTATTTCGTTTTGGTGCATTCAAGACTTAACTCGTAGCAGTCTGAAATTAAGTCTTTGCAATATTTTGACGGTTGACGCATTCAAATTAGCGAACATCTGTGCGCTTATAACGTATAACCATGCTTTTCGTTTCCTATTCGCTTATGGGCAATCGCTTTCATCGTTTGGTCATTTAAATTAGTAAGATCTTTTAATCGATATTTTTTCCTATTTTTCTCCGAGGTTCATTCCCCCACTCAAAGAATCTCGTTTTATTATCTTAATCAACTGCTTATTTTCTCGGTTAAACGACTTTTTTATCTGGTTTAAACGACTTATTTATCTTATAAATGAATAATATGTCTCTCGTTCAAACGAGCCTAGGCGCACTATTAAAGTGAAATTCGCGCTACTAAGGTGTTCCCCATCTGCCCTCTCACATCTCGCATCTGGTGTGGATGACCTGACCTTTGTGTCGCAAGTTGTAATATGCAAATTTGGGACAATTATCATCTCGACTCATGCAAACGCAATTGGCATTTAGGAAGGAGACGAGGCAGGCATGAGGTTACAATCAAGTAAAAGCTTTATGTGGCCTCTCTGGGCTCCCTTACGTTTTGTACTAAATAAATGTAGTCGGGCACCATATGCAGACGTTGTTGTAATTTTGTAATTGTGCGTCTGGCAGCCAGACTGAGGGAGTGATGGTCATGTATCTGGAACATGTAAACGCTTTTTAATTAGCGCAATTAGCAGACTAATGACCAGCGTGGCAGCTCATGCACAATGTCGATATCGCTGTAGTGTGTGGTCCTACGTTACCGTTTTCTCTGACTTTTGTCTTGACTATCCAAATTTCGTGTATTTAGTATTTTTGACACGTCCGGGATGTTTTTCTTTATCTGTTGACATAGCTTCTTGAAGTAAAACAATCACACCACCAATATGATATGAGAGATCAAACTAAAGAAAATAGTATAGACAAAAATACATAATTTTGAAGTTAATCGTGTGCTACTTCATTCAACTTGTTTTGTGATCATGAATGCACCCGCCATCAGTAGTACCGATCGATAATAACGCGGCAGCGACATGAAAATGGGGGGACTCAAATGCGTCCCTGTAACGGCGGGCAAGATAGAGGGCTCCCTTTCATAATTTTAATTGACATTGGAAGCACTCTGGGTTGCGGAAAAAGACCCATTACTATTTTCTTTTTCTTTTTTATTAAAATGGGATTCGGTACAAAACCTGTTCTCGAAACAATCGCACATTTTTCCTCAGATGACGTTTCTTGCTCTGTGGAGGGACCTCTCGGGATGGAAGATGGTCGCATCCGGGATGAACGCATCACAGCTTCGTCTTTTTGGCGAAACCTCGCTAGCCACGCCCCATCCAGGGCCAGGCTTAATACTCAAGGTAAGCATTTGTATTTCAGACTAACCACGTTATACTTCGTACAGCCATTTCAAAGGAAAGACAGTTGTTTAACCCTAAAAGGGCCGGGCGGAATCCGCCCCCCCCCTCAACTTTTTCCGCGATAGCCTTGAAAAAAGAATGTCGCGACCCGAGCTGTTCGTCTGACTTTTTAGCTACGAGCCTTGCCCATCTTTTGATACCAAAAACATTTTAAAAAAATTCCGAAGCAAACTGAATTTCCCCATAAACGTAGTGTACACAGAGCATTCGTGCATATGAATAATTAATTAGCCATAATTCCAAAATCCTTTGACCTATAGTCATGAAATTTCTTGGGTATGTTCATGGTAAGTGCATGTACTGAGTTTCAAAAATTTTCGTCACTCGATGGCCGACATCTTAGGGGGCTGAGAGATGGTCCAAATAACCTGGCCCTTTTAGGGTTTAAGGGATATTATACGGCCTGAAATTCACGAAATTATTATGTTGTTAGGGATGTTTCTTTTTACTATTTCAAATGTATGGTTGAAAGGAAACTAACCTAATGTCTTACCGTTCTTGAGAAAAGACGGATGAACAGTTGTTTACATCGCACGCGGTGGACTGCTGTGGCATACATATACGCATTTCCCGCCGTTTCCCTTCAATGTACAGTTCAAGTCGTGTGTGTCACAATACACAAAGTACCAACACAAATGTTGTTTCTCGCACGTCCGCATTATACAATACACTGTGTCATGCCAGATTCACAACTAGCACTAAACAGCTCTATTTTTGAGACTCACTATTTTGACACCCAAAATTAGTTGTCGCATGGTTCACGCAAGAATCACACAAAAATAACCAGTTTTAAATGATGGTTGTGTAGACGTTTATGTCTTACTATTAAATGCTCTTTCCATTTAATATAATTTCATTAAAATACGTTTTGTAGCCCAATTGAGCGCATTCGCAATGTCCCTTCAGTTGCACAATTCACTGCTCGATTTGTGGTTGATTCGTAGTAACCAAATCCATTACGACAGTGCACTAAAAAAACGTGCGGACGTCAATAGTCGGACGATATCGGCAAAATGTCATCAGGAAATTATATGGGTCACGGGTCCCTGCTGCGCATTGTGATGCGTGCAGCTATCGTACGCGTAACCAGCAATGCGACCGACCATCAAGGCGGCCCCGAAGAGCCGACAATACGTTGGGCGTCGCTGCAGGGGGGTGGAGGTGTCACAACCCCCATTAGACATTTTTGTCGGTGAAATCATGGTGCTGTCGGCCAAAAAAGTGAAGAATAGAGAAAGACGTAAAAGAAAGAGAGAAGAAGAAAATATTGAGAGTGTAAATAATAGACACCGTTGCTCAAAACCCTGCGAAGCTAACATCCGGTTCTGAATTCCTTGGCAAAAACAAATTGTACATTGTGTCAAGACTGTCATGTCGGCACGAGCTGCCGCGCGAGCTCGCTTCATATATACGGCGGTTGACAGCTACGGCTAAGTGACGACTCACAACCATGATGGATCAAGCTAAAGTTAAAGAAGGCAAAACTCGAAAGAGTGTAGAGCTTCAGTTTGATGTAATGTTGGTGATGCAATACATCAACTTTGATGACCCCCACCCCCATCTCCCTAAACACGAGCCAGTACATTAAAAAAAAGTCTGCGGAAAGTGGCCAGGAAATGCTTCAGATTGCACCACAAAGCATAAAATCCAGACCTTTTAGGCTGGCCCTGGACCCCACGCACACATAAAAAAAGTCAGCAGAAAGTGGCTAGAAAATGTTTCAGATTGCACCACAGAGCACACAATCCAGAACTTTTAGGTGGGCCCCGGACCCCACGCCTTCAGGGCTTCGCGCTCTCCGCTCGCATATAACAGAAATTCACTTTAGGATTTAAGGTATATTCCATCATTTGTAATTTGTGCATTATGTTTGTTTGAAGCCACAAAAGTGCTCAAAATCTAAAGAAGGGTGATGAAGTTTCAGCTCAGCTGTATATTTCGAGAAAAACAGCATTTTAGGATCTCGATTTCAAATCAAAAGTTGCTGAATCATGTTTTGAATGGGCCTGAATTCAGCATCCGGCGAGACATCGTGTCCCGCGTGTGCATCGTGTCAACGCTTGCGCGCGCTTCGCTGAATATAAAAACGAACTACTACGGAAATTTCTAACGGTGCTTCTTAAAACGCACCGTTGGAAGGGCATTCCTTCGTTGATTTTTTCAAAATGACAGCTTGCCAGAAAGAATAATTTCACAGGGAGTTTAGTCCCCTTGCTATCTTTCAACCAAGAATGTTTTTTCAACAATAATTAGGTCTGTCACTTTTTGGATAGCTGCAAATGATGGACTATAGCTTTAAAGACCCCCCCCCCCCCCGACTGGGATCAGGGATCGGGCCTGCACAAGGTATGCTTACGTGGGCGTGTACACGTACGCCAGCAGCGTATCCAGCTTTTGATTTGGGGGGGGGGGGGGCAACTGCACATCAGCGCCGAAATGTAGACATGTTTTTTTTCTTCGGACACTTGCCCTCCGTAAAATCAAAAAGCGGGGGGAGGGGAGGGGTGTTGGGTCTGGTATCCATCTTCCAAATGGGGGCACTCTTCAAAACTGACCATTATTATGCATACTACATATCAAATGAAGATTTTCACGGCTCATTTTAATGGTTGTTGAATGGGCCAAGAAAAAGTCTCCGGTTTCTGGTATGGAGCTTGCCCAAAAAGTGGTGCGGCGATATTTATGGGAGACCAGAGAGGCCACATAAAGTTTATTCTCGATCATAACCCCATCTAAAAACCCGTTAAAATTGTGCAGCAGCAGGATTCCTGTCAAACCAGTGAGTTTGGCGGTTTTGAGACATCATCTTTCATTGAAAAAAAAACCTTTTTCATTTTGCCGACGCGCATGGCTACGGCGACGCGCGCGCATACCAGAAACCGGATACTTTTTTTTTGCCCTTAGTGGGATTGATGTCAGAGGAACTCTTTAAACATAACTGAAAATTTATTCCATTCAGAGCAATCAACATAATAAACCATTATAATACATGATGTGGGGAATTAGAAATGGATTTAATTAAGGGATCTTTTGGGGCGGAAATTATCAATTATTTTGTGTGACGGTCCGTCGGCAAATTTCATGATGACACCCCCCCCCCCTTTCAAAATGGTCTAGCGACGCCCGTGGACGATACGCTAGTAAACTTAGTCTAGCGTTGGGTCAGACAAAGATTATTGGCAAAGATTATTCAACATACCTCGAAGTCCAAATTTGAGCCAGATTCCTGCAATATGGCTAAATCGTTGAATGCAGTAAGAAATGTTAGGTTTTTTTGTTGTACAGGATACGCTGCAGCATGGTGTAATGATGAAACTACTGATGACATCAGTCCGTGGATACAGGTTGACTTCGATGGCACAGTCACCATCACTGGTCTGATCACCCAGGGGCGTGGAGACAGCCCATGCGACCAATGGGTGACGGAGTACCAAGTGGCGTACAGCGAAGACGGTCAGTCCTGGAATAACGTGACTGATGCAGACGGCACACCAATAAAGGTATATAGTCAGGTTGCATACGGTTGGAATCGTGACCGACTGGTGCAAAGCACCAAACTTGGCAGATAGATTATTATAGCCCTAAAGAAGATATTTAGAAGGGGTGCCCACCTAAAATTCTTTTGGAAGAGTGCCTAATTTGCATATTAAAGCGTTAATGAGTGCAACTTTAGAGTATAATATAGGTTTTCCCGGCCAATTTCACCAAGTTTTCATTCAATTTAACGCCTGGCTCATTCGATTTAGATTGAAATTGAAAGATCACGAAGATCGGCATTCGACAATCAAAAAGAATCATTCAATTTCACTATCCGAGCAATCTATCGCCTTTTATCTTCACTCGTCCCTATCAAAGATGCATTCATATTAAAAGTATCGCGTTGTTCATTCAATTTCGTCTAAACCAGCAGTAAAGGGTTGATCGGGCATTCGTTTTCATTAATGGGAAAACATATTTCACATTTTGTCAAACATCTTTTAAGACTTCATACGTGTCCGTATTCCTTAGGGTATCATGAATTTTTCTCAGGAATTCTTTTTTGTGCAACTCTTTACTACTGTGAAATGTAAGAAAACTACACATTTGACAACATTTTTGAGTTAATCTTATTGCAAAAGTGCAACTCTTTAACCTTAAAGGGACCGGGGCGGAATGGTCAAATTAAGCAGACCCTTTTAGGGTTAAACATTTAAAAGTGTCCATGCTTTTCCGGACTACGTATGAGCGCCCTGTTACTGTCATGGCATTTCAGGAAGACACTGTTCAGTTTTAGGGGTTTTCTTTCAAATTATTTATCCTAAATCTGCTAATTGAAAACATTTGTGGGAAAGGGTTGCTCACTAGCTTACTGCCATGAAGGCACCAAAAACATCCTTCAAAAATAAAAAATGAAACTTGCAAATATGGTTAAATTTGACACAAAGATGTATTTTCAAGGTTTGCATAGCAAACTAACTTTGCATGGGCCCTGTGAATACAGTAATTGTTCGATTAGACATGCGCAAGAAATCATTTAAGAAATAACTCAAGAGAAATGTTCCCGATGGTACATCCATTGCCAAAAAAAGGTGTTCCGATGTCTTGCACGTCAAGAAATTGTCAATGTTTAAACAAGTAGAAAAGATAAACAGTCAAAAACAAATTATCTTAGTCCCTTCAATTAATTAATTCGTAATAACATATTGTTTCCCTTATAGGGCCTATTAGTTAATTTGTAACATTGTAAGTTTTACAGTTATCAAGTTTTGGAGGGAAATGAACCTCGGAGAAAAATAGAAAATGTATCGATTAATTTTCTTTTACTAACTTAAATGACAAAACGATGAAAAGGATTGCCCATAAACGAATAAGAAACGAAAAGCATGGTTATACTTTACAAGCGCACAGATGTTCGCTAATTTGAATGCGTCAACCGTCAAAAGGTTGCAAAGACTTAATTTGAGACTGCTACAAGTTAAGTCTTGAATGCACCAAAACGAAAAAGGATGCCCGAAAATGAAAACGAACATTCAAAGCAAAATCTTGGCTGCCTAAAAATGAAATTGAACGAACCCAAAACGAACTAGAGGTCTATGTCTGTTTGCAACAGAACATAGGGCTTTTCCGCATTATGATTGTTTTTAATCAATAATATGCCCTGAATATGCATGAACATAAAATCTGTCAAAGTTAGCCGAAAATCGGCTAAAACGGTCACTGTGGACAGGATTTGACCTCGGCAATACGATGTATGTGCGTGTGTACAAGGTCTTGGCTTGGACAAAGAGTGATCTATATAAAATACTGGCAAAGAGTTGAAAACGCACTTTGAAAATCGACAATTATTTTTAAATTTTTGATGACGTCATCGTGACGTCATTTCGAACTTTGCATACTAGTATGATTAACTACCTACCCACCAAGTTTCATGACAATTGGACCTTTCCTTATATGAGTTTTGAAAAATCGCATTTTGATGACGTCATGATGACGTCGCACATTTTTCAAGTTTTGTGCAAATAGCTATTACATAACAGACCAAATGCAAAAAAGAATTTTGCATTTTGCATGTTGCATTCGGGAGATATGGCTAAAAGTTCCCAAAAAATAAATATTCATATAAAATCTCAGGATGACGTCATCATGGCGTCACTCTATTTTTAATCTATAACTTTTCCTGGTATAGCCACATACCAAGTTTCAACCCAATCGGACTTACATTTCTGTAAATATAAGACTTCACAATATGTACGTAAATTTTCAAAAATCAATAAAAAAATTAGGTGATGACGTCATCGTGACGTCATAGTCTTGGCATAATTTTTGTATGAGGGTCTTCCTTGGCTGTAACTTTGATGACGATTCCAGATCGCCAAGTTATAAAAATGGTGCCTTGAAAACGTGTACAAAGTCAATGGGTTAAAAATCCCACAGCAGAAAAACTGCACCTTTAAATACGTGATTTGCCTTTAAACTGAAACATTTTTATCAATTGTTTTCGTATTGCTACAAACATAAGGTCTATAGCTGTCCCTAGGCGTACCTCACGATACGTCACACGATCAGACGATTCTCGTGGAGAAAGGGGGTTTAAACCGTTCGGAAAGTGCCTTTAAATGAGCTTGACGACCAGTTATAAAGATCCAATCATTGCCAAGCTCGGCACGAGGGGATACAAATGTTTACAGACACAAAGATGGCAACAAGTAAAACGACAGAACGAACGAAAATCTTTTTGGCTGGAATTGAATTATTTATTTTAGTTGAAGGTATTATATGATTATCAGAGCTATAAGTATAACTTCCATTAGAAGATTTTTTTTTTTTTTTTTTTTTTAATTATATTTTTAATTTTTTTTTATTATTATTATTTTGTTTTAATTTTTTAAAGGAAATTGGGGAAGACTAATCAGCATGGCTAGAAGGATATTTTTTATAAGGAACATTGGGGAAGACTAACCAGCATGGCTAGGAGGATATTTTTTAGAAGGAAACATGGGGAAGACTAACCAGCATGGCTAGGAGGATATTTTTTATTAGGAACATTGGGGAAGACTAACCAGCATGGCTAGGAGGATATTTTTTATAAGGAACATTGGGGAAGACTAACCAGCATGGCTAGGAGGATATTTTTTATAAGGAACATTGGGGAAGACTAACCAGCATGGCTAGGAGGATATTTTTTAGAAGGAAAATGGGGAAGACTAGCCGGCATGGCTAGGAGGATATTTTAAAAAAAGCAAAGTTGGGAAGACTAACCAGCATGGCTCGGAGGGTACTTTTTGGAAAGAAAATTGGCACAGCTAGTAGCCTAGCATGAATAGTAAAGGAAGTCTACGTTAGGCCGTACAAACGCAGCGTGGAAAATTTCAAGGATTGTAAGGAACGGATCATTAAAAATACACCGGAAAGTGAAGTAGTTTATAGGTTAGTATAAGTAGTAAGGAATGCCGGCATGTAAAAGCTCTTACCAGTCTGTTTTGGTAAATTTGACAAGAAACCAGAAATTTGTCTAAAAAGCGAGACTCATCAGGTACAGTTCGCTAGACCTTGGGTAGGTTTCGTCTCGAGACTGTACGACCTACCCCGTAAGAACTTTTACGTGTTGATGTTATATCATAATTTATATTTCAAAGAAACGGGGTATTTAATTGGGTTGTAAGAGTATAATTTTCATTAGAGATCAACTCACCTTAAACGATAAGACGTCCGCGCATTAAAGTCGAGGATATGGTGTTAAGAGGTCACGTTCAAAGGTACAAGTACATGTAGTAAAGGAATTGTGTTTCAACGTCAGGAGAATACGTGTTGTTCTTATGGTAGCTGGGAGCAAAGTGTGACGTGACGCCGGCGCGACGCACGGTTTTTTGAAAACGTCTAAGATACGCGCGTATCATACGCGCGCGTAATAATGAATCGTTGTGCTTATCAAATGAAATGAGTGGCACAATATCAGTGCGGGGTCGACGTAAGTAAAAAACGCAGCTCAGAGATTTTTATAGGTTAAATATAATTTTTTTAGTTAAGCATCTCGTTCATAAAAATGATTTGATAATTTAATAATTTTTAAAATCTTATTAACGTGTCAGAAATTAGATGTTCACAAAATAAGATAACGTTCGTGAAAAGAAAGAAGAAAGAGTTAAATAAGAATGGAAAATGTAGGGAGAAGAGGAAAAGGATCACAGGGAACGGCCCCGCAGACTCTCGAGAATTACGTAAGAACGCCAGTGCAAATCTGTCGACTTGTCTTTCAATTGTTTTCGTATTGCTACAAACATAAGGTCTATAGCTGTCCCTAGGCGTACCTCACGATACGTCATACGTTTGTACGGCCTAACGTAAACTTCCTTTACTATTCATGCTAGGCTACTAGCTGTGCCAATTTTCCTTCTAAAAAGTACCCTCCGAGCCATGCTGGTTAGTCTTCCCAACTTTGTTTTTTTTTAAATATCCTCCTAGCCATGCCGGCTAGTCTTCCCCATTTTCCTTCTAAAAAATATCCTCCTAGCCATGCTGGTTAGTCTTCCCCAATTGTCCTTCTAAAAAAAAAAAAAATATCCTCCTAGCCATGCTGGTTAGTCTTCCCCAATTTTCCTTATAAAAAATATCCTCCTAGCCATGCTGGTTAGTCTTCCCCAATTTTCCTTCTAAAAAATATCCGCCTAGCCATGCTGGTTAGTCTTCCCCATGTTTCCTTAAAAAATTAAAACAAAATAATAATAATACAATTTAAAAAAAAAAAAAAAAAAAAAAAAAAAAAAATCTTCTAATGGAAGTTATACTTATAGCTCTGATAATCATATAATACCTTCAACTAAAATAAATTATTCAATTCCAGGCAAAAAAGATTTTCGTTCGTTCTGTCGTTTTACTTGTTGCCATCTTTGTGTCTGTAAACATTTGTATTCCCTCGTGCCGAGCTTGGCAATGATTGGATCTTTATAACTGGTCGTCAAGCTCATTTAAAGGCACTTTCCGAACGGTTTAAACCCCCTTTCTCCACGAGGATCGTCTGATCGTGTGACGTATCGTGAGGTACGCCTAGGGACAGCTATAGACCTTATGTTTGTAGCAATACGAAAATATTACTTGATATTCTGACTCTTGGGAATATTTTCAATCAAATGGCAAAAGTAAAAAAATACGATTTCTTTTTCCTTCTCATAGTAATTCTTAGCCGGAGTTCAGAACTACTCAGTAAGATATATCAGTGTTGTATAGGAAAAGACTTGTGGAAAAAGCTGTGTACAAAGTCTATGAGAAAAATTAATTATTCATGAATCCATAATAAATCACTTGAAGATGACGTCATCATGATGTCGTAGTCTTGGCATAATTTTTGTATGATGGTCTTCCTTGGCTGTAAATTTGATGACGATTCCAGATCGCCAAGTTATGAAAATGGTGGCTTAAAAAAGGGGAAAAGTCAATAGGTTAAAAATCCCACAGCAGAAAAACTGCACCTTTAAATGCGTGATTTTCCTTTAAACTGAAACATTTTTATAAAATATTACTTGCTATTCTAACTCTTGGGAATATTTTCAATCAAATGACAGGCGTAAAAAAAAATACGATTTCTTTTTCCTTCTCATAGTAATTCTCAGCCGAAGTTCAGAACTACTTAGTAAGATATATCAGTGTTGTATAGGGAAAGACTTGTGGAGAAAGCTGTGTACAAAGTCTATGAGAAAAATTAATTATTCATAAATCCATAATAAATCACTTGATGACGTCACCATGACGTCACTCTTTGGGACACATCTTGGCTATAGGGACTATGCTTATGCCAACTTTCAATGATATCTGACAAAGATTAATGCCAAAAGGGCTATAATACGTCATGGGTGCGCATGCATGAACATAAAATCTGTCAAAGTTAGCCGAAAATCGGCTAAAACGGTCACTGTGGACAGGATTTGACCTCAGCAACACGTGCGCTGCAGGCTGACTTACGTACGATGTATGTGCCTATGTACAAAGTACGTGCATGTACATGTTCATGTACATTGTGGACGTCCTGTCCTGTGCATGTTTTGAAGCAGAGGTTTTGTCAAGGTGAAGTTTTAAGCGTGCGCAGGGTATGTTCGAGTTCGCTTATCGCCTCAAAACTTTGAAATGTTTTAGACCTACCCTTCAATCAACAATTAAAGTAAAAACAAATATAAAACTGCCATGGTTGATTTTTCACGAATATTCAAATGAAAAAGGGTCTTTTCATTATAACTTCCGGTCTGATGACGTCATTCGCCTAAAACTTCGCACACGTCTTAAGGTGGTCAAGGTCATTATATACACCAATATTTAGGCGATTCTGACAAACTTCGCCACAGACATCTATTCAAAATACATTTTCGCTAATTTTCAACCTGTCGCTAGAGGGCGCTCGAAGATTGCATGACGTCATCGGTAGATGATTTGAAGAGTACTATGGGCCAAGAGACTAACACTGTTGAAAGCAAGTTCATATCTATTACCACTTTCAAATAATAAGCCACTTCCGGTTTTGGCCTTTTTCGACCGGAAGCAAGGGTCACGTGATTTAACGCACACTGAATGAAATAAAGACCTTAACCTATTCTACCACTTGCCGGGAAAACCTATAGTAGCCATTTAGGATCGTTACAATGTCCTCATATTATTATCCAGTCAGTCTTAAATGCTTTAGCAAATGTTATTGACGTAAGGATGTGTAAGTGAAATCCCCAAAATATACTTTTCAAAAAATTAAAAAAAAGTACTTTTCAAAAAATTAAAAGTGGGAAAAATATATTACACTGTAGGAATTAACGATTTATGCAAATTAGGCACCCTTCATTTCTTAATATTTACTCTAGGTATATACCAATATATCTGCCAAATTTGGTGGTTTGAACCAGTCGTTCACGATCTTGTCAAAAATTGGGTCTAAGCTTTCTGACTAATAGAAATGTTTAAAGGTATCAAAATGTCAAAAGTCGTTTGCTGACTATGTTACGACATAATCAGTAGCGTATCCAGCTCATGATGTGGGTGTGTGTGTGGGGGGAACCGCACATCCACAGCGAAATATAGACATGGTTTTTTTCTTCCGACACTTGGCCTCCGTAAAATCAAAAAGTGGTGGGGAGGACCATCTTCCAAATGAGGGCGCTCTTCAAAACCTTTATTATGCATACTGGAAAAGATATGCCGATTTTCACAGCGCCTTGTAATGCCTTTTTTTTAGCTGGTTTTCTTTTTGGGGTTGATGTCAGAACTCTCTAAACATTTATGGAAATACTTACTGAGCAATTTTTTTTCCAAAAATCCTCGGGGGGGGGGGCACGGTGCCCCTGCCCCCCCCCCTCATCTGGATATGCCACTGGACATAATGAATCCATTCGAATGTCAACAACCTGAACACACCATTCTTCTGTTTTGAACAGTTCCCTGGTAACAAGGACAAGAACACCCCGGTAACTACTCACCTACCGTTTGCCTTGCGCACCAGAATCCTGCGCATTCACCCCACTGCATGGAACCACCATTGCAGCATGAGGTTTGAAGTGATTGGCTGCTATTAGTCAGACTCATTACACTGCCGACGAGTGAGTGAAATGATTTCAACGTCAAAAGGTAGCTCTGTCGTAGAACAAAACGAAAATATTCATGCTTGTAAATACCGGCTCTACTCAAAATTATTTGGTAGTTTGGATAAAATTTGATGAATATTATTAGCTTTTTTTTCTTAAAATTTGTGATCTATATTTCTGATGCTCTTAAAATGCATACTGGTAAAATCGTTAGTCAAGGTGTACGTATAGATAATTAGCTGATTGGTAAGACTTTTATAGAGTAAAAACAAACCCTGGGAGTACACTTTAAAAAAGAAAGGCAAATCTCCAGGGAAATCTGGACAGTCGTACAGCAAGGTTGCTTTTTCCTGTGTACTTGAAGGACTTAAAATAAATTTAGAACATGATAACGAATAAGAGAAATTTTATGTACGAATTTAAGAAAGAAATATGCTCGTTATAAAAATTGAAGAATTATTATGTGTTAGTTGCTAGAAGGTACGGTGTGTCTAATAATAATAATAATATAGGTTTTCCCGGCGAATTTCCGAATTTTTCTAATCAGTTTCATTATCAGCCATTCAATTTCACGTGAGTTTTGCACATATGGTCAAATTGGGGTTTCTTTTTCATTTTGGGTTCATTCAATTTCATTTTTAGGCAGCCAAGATTTTACTCTGAATGTTCGTGTTCGTTTTTTGGCATGCTATTTCGTTTTGGTGCATTCAACACTTAATTTGTAGCAGTCTTAAATTAAGTCTTTGCAACCTTTTGACGGTTGACGCATTCAAATAAGCGAACATCTGTGCGCTTATAACGTATAACCGTGCTTTTCGTTTCTTATTCGTTTATGGGCAATCGCTTTCATCGTATGGTCATTCAAATTACTAAGATGTTTTAATCGATATGTTTTCTTATTTTCCTCCAAGGTTCATCCCCCCCCAAAAAAAATCTTGATGACTGTAAAATTTACAATGTTACAAATTAACTGATATGAGGGAAACAAGATGTAACAAAATAATTAATTGAAAGTGACTAAGATAATTTATTTTTCACTGTTGATCTTGTCTACTTGTTTAAACGTTTGATCAAGGGGTATCTTTACGTTGGCACTTTTTTGACGTGCAAGACATCGGGACACGTGTGGTTGGCAACCATCGGGAACACTTCTCTTGCGTTATTTATGTTTTCTTGCGTATGTCTGACCAAACACTTACCGTATTCAAAGGGCCCATGCAAAAAAATAGTTTTCAACGCAAACCTTGAAAATACATCTTTGTGTAACATTTAACGTTAATCGCAAGTTTTATTTTCCATTTTGAAGGGTGTTTTTTTTGCCCTCTCCATTTTTATGCTAATGCATGCTTTCACACGAATGTTTTCAATTAGCAAGTTTTGGATGAATAATTTGAAAGAAAAACCCCTAAACTGAACAGTGTCTCCCTGAAATGACATCACAGTGACAGCGCGCTCATAGGTAGTCCGAAAAAGCATGGAAACTTTGAAATGTTTAAAGAAGTGCACTTTTGCAATAAGATTTACGAAAAAATGTTGTCAAATGTGTAGTTTTTTTTACATAAAAGTTGCACAAAAAGAATACTTGAGAACAATTCATTGCACATACCCTTTAATTAAGAACAAAGGCATCTACGGATTGAAGACATCAAATATGATTTACGCTAAGGAATACGGACACGTATGAAGTCTTAAAAAGATGTTTGACAAAATGTGAAATATGTGTGCCCATTAATGAACATGAATGCCCGATCAACCCTTACTGCTGGTTATGACGAAATTGAATGAACAACGCGATACTTTTAATATGATTGCATCTTTGATAGAGACGAGTGAAGATAAAAGGCGATAGAATGCTTGGATAGTGAAATAGAATGATTCTTTTTGATTGTCGAATGCCGATCTTCGTGATCTTTCAATTTCAATCTAAATCGAATGAGCCAGGCGGTAAATTGAATGAAAACTTGGTGAAATTGGCCGTGAAAACCTATAATAATCGGCATTTAAGAACGCTCTTTTTAGTCAACTAAATCACAGCGCTTACAAATAATGAACAATTAAAGTAAATAAATAATTTAAGTTAAATAATAAAAACAGGTAGCATAGACAATGAGTTGATTATTGGTGGAATAAATTGGTCTTGATCAGCTTCTTGAATTGCTCGAGAGATTTGGCATTTTGAATGGAAAAGGGCAGACTATTCCACTCCTTCGCTGCACTGAGGAAAGTGTATCCAGGAGGAGTGCACTCACCTATGACAAGGGCATCATTTTCGTACAGCCAACTCTCAGTGATTGCAATGATGTCTATGTCATGTTCTACAATGTAGTCACATGTGGAAAATGACTTGTTCCTGAGGGAGTGGGCATTCCAAACACAAATTCTGGAATTGAGTTCATTGTGTTGTGGTCCTGTTTTGGGATGTATCGTAGGTTTTCATGATTGACGCGGCGCAGTTGGTTAACTCTGTGACCGATAACACGGCAAGATGACACAACCTGAATTTGGCGTTGCTTCCTTTTTCCAGCACGCTTACCTCTGTGAGACCTGTGTTTTCGTGACAATCCAAGGGATTTAATGTTTGTCCATATGACATCAGGCAGCTTCTGAGCTGACTGTAAGTAAACAATCTCCTGCTTGACTCGCAAAAGAAAGGATCTGTCATAAACCAAACGATTGCTAGCAGTTTCTGAGTAATGACTACCTTCAAGATTTTCCCGGGGATAATCATGCGTAACTGGCCCTGGGTTAGGATTTACATCCCCAGAAAGAAGTAGTTTTGACTGGAATGCTGAAAAACAGTTGGAATAATAGTGGAATCGTGACCCAAGAAATGTGTACTTTGGTTGTGTATGCAGTTTCTTGTGCACTATGTCGAGACTCAAGTTCCAGTGAAGAGCAGTATCAGCAGTTAATGTGTCACTGTGTCTACAGAGAATTAGTATGGGAGAAATTATTATCCTGAAATTTTGTAATTCGGAAAAAAGCATTTGAGAAACACTCGCTCTATTTATTTCATATTAAGCCCAAATCTGGGGGTGGATGCAGCCCTTGAGCTTATTTATGATACCAGTAAAATGGGGCCCAAAGAAAAGAACAGGAATTCTAAAGTTCCTAATTTCTCAAATAGTGTTATAGAATGGCGGGGAAAGCATCGTAGATTTCACAATTTTCAGGGGGGGGGGGGCATGCCCCGGACCCCCAGCAGTCACAACCTCTTGACACCCCCCCTAAACATTACCCCCCCATGTTTTCTGAATGGTAAATTCGCCCGTGAAGCTGTTTGTATTAGCAAATGTATAAGTCAAAAGACCTTTATCAAGGGTACGCCATCTTGAAAATCGACGCGAAGCATAACGCAAACAAACATGGCGGCGTAACTATTGTGTGCGGTGAACGAGTGACTCTCGCAATATTACAGCAGATTGACATTCTTATAAATGGATGGATAGCTCGATTCCCCGCAACATCAATCAGCATAGGCAGGTCACGTCTTATTGTATTTTGAAGAAGGATCTGATAAATATAAAGCCCAAAACAAGTGGCCATACTTAAGTTTCCGTGTCTGAGTATAATATGCGTAATTAGCACCGCCGTCAGATCAGAGAAACGATCAAGACTTTTTCTGAGCTGAACATGCATCTGTTTTATTTTTCGTGTTGTCAATAAGTAGAGAAAGTGAATATGCTTCGTCGTGACTTTTAGTGTAGCCGATACATGTACATGTACAATTATCATGCCAACCAGCGCTTTAAAGGTGGCACATATATGTTCATTCATTGAATGAGGTATTTTATAATATATATAAGTAAAGTACTTCAAGTTACTGCTTACACTGTTTTGGCCAACATAACACAGAAAAAAGTGACCAGAGTTTGAATTGATGGCATGGTATCTTTGTAATTCCTTTTTTTCCTACCCCAAATTATGAAATGTATCCCCGCTCCCATAAGAGAGAGTTTTCCAAATTTATATTGTTCCTCTACACTCTAAAAAATAGTTGCTCAATATTGGGTAAAATTACTATCTTTTCGAGAGTAAAAAAGGGAACATGGTCGTCAACTTGTGTACTCTTTTTACCCAACAGCTAAAGTGTAAACAAGTACCCATTTCAGTGTCACTTTTACCCATAATTGTGTTACGTGTTTGCACAACAAAGTTGGGTAACAAAGTTTACCCATGTGACGACCATGTTCCCTTTTTATTCACTTATTGGGTAGACTTTACCCAAGCCTCCTTTTACCCAAGTGTTGTGTCACTTTCTTACCCAGATATTAGGTTCTAATTTTTACCCTGCACTGTTGGGTTCTTAATTAACCCATCACCTGGGTTGTTTTTAAATTAGTTGTTGTGTACCTTTGTTATTGATCCTTGCGGTTTTATTCAACTTTGAACTCTGCAATGTGAATTGCTAAAGATAGCAATCGCAAGGGATTTCAGTAACTAAGTCCTGGGTTGGAAAGTCAGTAAAATGAATAAGATGATATTTCCCCAAATATGGTGCTGATGCATGATGACTATTACGAGAAAATGCGGGCTAAATGATGGGCAGGGGTGTTAGAATTTCACTCAATCAACTTATTCAAAAACAATTCCCCAAATGTCGGTCACTTTACTCTGTGTTTCTAGATCTGAGAATACTTACTATACGGTACGTGAAATGCATGCATCATGTGCATGGAATCGTGGTTGGAAGAGCCGTCGACGTCCAAGTTGCAAATAAATGACTAAATAATAAGCATGTCACTTCTCCAATCTCCCTGATATTAATCCTCATACATCAGCATCCCATTTGGAGGAAACAACACTGAAATTCATTTCACTGACTTACTTGGAACGAAGAAATCACGTCTTCAAAATCCCCAAATTGTTGAAGGTCTCACAAGCGGCGGCCATCTTGTACATGAGTGATGACGCGTGCACAATATAGGGTAAACGTTGTCACGTGCGTCAGTTTACCCTACACAGTGGTAACATTTTACTAATGTCGTGGTAAATTCTACTTTTCGACGTGTACAATGAAAGAATTGTTACACAGTGGTGGGGTAAATCCAGTTTCTTTAACCCATCACTTGGGTAATAATACCATGATTTTAACTGTTTGTCTGTGCTGCTGGGAC